TGTGAAACTGCAACTAATTTCTAATGAGCTAATGTCCGCGAACGAGTTACTAGGTTGGTATTAATGACAACTAGATGACTAGTTATTTTCCTTTGCAATTAGTATACGAGGTTACTGTCTTGTCATTGCTCTCATTTAATAAACGCATAACGAAAAATGCTCTGTTCATCACCACCACTTACAATTTTAACATGTTATGCAACTTCATGTGCTGAGACGTGTGCATTTTGGATAAGCTTTTGGTAAGTAATAAAACGAATGGATTGCCAATTTATTAAAAGTCAAGTTATATGTATATTGTCTGTGTATTAAATTTGAAGGAATGGCAACATCATCCTGAGAACGAAATATGAACTTATGATGAACAATAAGACAAGAAGCAGTTTCTAACATAGAGTTTAATGTCACGCTCTCAATTAAGAACGTATCTTTACATTTGTACCACTTATTAAAAATAACTTTACAAAAAACTATTTTAACATCACGTGTCATTTTATGATTGATCTATGTTGATATTTATGATTATTATTGATTTTATAATAATTCTAAACTAATTATACGTGAATAATATTAAAATATTGTCACAAAAATATTCTAAAAGAATTATTATCCAACTTAAAAGATTGAAGACGAAAAGCAGGGTCTGAGTATCTGGCGTGTGGGGCCTTTGTATTTGTTTGCCTTTGGGTTTTGGGTGATCCAATTGGATAAGTTTTCTTTAAGTTTAAGAAAGAACAGGATGTCCCAAAATATGAAGAAATAAATACCCATTATAAACCAAAGCTTGGATATCTGTGATGCTATAAATATTAGTGTTCATCATCCCAACACTTTCCAACTACCAACTACTTTGCCTTCTTCTTCTTTTTCCATTTGCATTTTCTTAACTTATTCCCTTCAAAATTATATTATGGCTAACCACACTATGAAGCTGCTCAACTTGCTTCTTCTCTTAGCCACCACCGTCTCATCAGATCCTGACCTTCTTCAAGACCTCTGTGTCGCTGACCTCTCCTCAGGTTCTCCTCTTTTTACACCATTCTATTCATCTTTTACATTTTATATTTATTTTCGAACACAATCCCAAAAATTAAAGCTTTTTATCTGAAAATTTGAGTTTCCCCTCAATTCTACTTGCAATTCAGTTTTACTGACAAAAAAACTCGGTTTGTAAATAAATTTCCAATTTTTTTAAACATGCAATCAAAAAAATGTCTGGTCCTCCTTTTTTCTGTTACCAGCAGTTTTTTCCTCTTTGAATGATTAAATTTGATCCTTTCTGTTCACTCTTGAATTCTTTTTTTCTTTGCTTACTTTGATTTTCTTTAAACCACGCCTAACTCAACATCAGTGTCCAAGACATTCCACTTCTACCTACTACTTTAATTTTGCTTTCTCCTGACTCCAGTGTTTAATCATTTTAACTCAAATATATATAGTATTCCCACTCACATCATTAACTTTTATTTGTCTCTTTCCTCTATTTATCAACACATCACACATCAATACTTCCTTTGTTTTTATTCTTTCTAAAAACAACCGTAAATTGCATCATTTTCAAGCATAACTCACAACTGGTGTATCAAAATGTTGTTAAAATTTATGTTAATGTATGATTGTCCTAGTAATTAAAGAGTGGTTGTTACTGTGACTAAAAAAACAGGTGTGAAAGTGAATGGATTCAGCTGCAAAGAAGCATCAAAGATAAATGCCTCAGATTTCTTCTCGAACATACTAGGAAAAGCAGGATCCACCAACAACACCTTTGGGTCAATAGTGACTGGAGCGAATGTTGAGAAAGTCCCAGGACTGAACACACTTGGTGTGTCTCTGTCAAGAATTGACTATGCCCCAGATGGCATAAACCCTCCTCACACTCACCCTCGTGCCACTGAGATTGTCTTTGTGCTTGAAGGCCAACTAGATGTAGGCTTCATAACCACTTCCAATCTCCTCATATCAAAGACCATTAGCAAGGGTGACATATTTGTCTTTCCAAAAGGCTTAGTTCACTTCCAACGGAACAATGCCAACGTCCCTGCTGCTGTCATTTCAGCCTTCAACAGCCAACTTCCAGGGACACAGTCAATTGCTACAACCTTGTTTTCTGCCACACCTTCACTTCCCGACCATGTCTTGACCAAGACCTTCCAGGTTGGTACCAACGTCGTTGAGAAAATCAAGTCCAGGCTTGCACCTAAGAAGTAAAAACTGCTACATTGGTTCGGCTATCTTGTGTCTTCTCAACAATAAATACTCCTTATTCATTCTTTCTGAAAAATTCAAAACCATTATCATATAATGTGAAGATAAATTAAAACTGCTTGTTCTATAAAGATTGATCCAGATAGCTAATTGTTTCTCTTTCTCCATTTTCTTTATCATCTCTTCTTTTAATCTTTTGTCATTCACCTTACATTTCGTGGTTGGAACAACTCATAAATTTGTTTAATAGTTTAAATTTGAAAGATCTTGCATTTCCGGTCATTAGTGTATAACATAATCTTCGATCTAAAACCTCAAAGTCATAGGTCTATGACTTTTTCCGTGTAAATTGTTCTTGTTTATGACGTTCCTTTGCTTTAAGCTTTTCTTTTTCCTTTTACTTTACCTTTACTTATCCATCAGTTAATACGTAACCATATAATAGGTAAATGGATCCCACAAGAACTGGCTGAGTCTAATAACACCACAGATCATGTTATCCAATGGCACAAACCAAATCTTAAATTAGGTTTTCAATTTCTACAGAGACTATTTTAATATGCAGAATTTCAAAAATCTTTTATCATTTGTAAAAAGATTTATTTTAGTATAGATAATGGTAAAGATTAAAAAAACTTACTTTACAATGTTAGAGTGATGGAATTTTCAAGATTTCAGAAAATAAAATATCTAATAGAGTGAACCTGCATCCATGAGAGTGAACCAAAAGTAGACTGTTAATCAAGTTAATATATTTTGTTGCCAATTTTTCGGTTTAAATCATTGCCATTTATGTGGATATATTTAATTCGATTATAGTCCTCCAGAAAGTATCTTATGATTTACTTTAGTAGTCGGAAATTTAGTTGTTTTGACAAATCCTTATTACTACTTAGAATAATGGAAATAGGCATGCTATGATTTTAATCATAAAAGTCAATAAAAAATTAACAAACCTAAATATAAATTTAGCTATATTTATAAATTACCAAAAATGAAAAAAATACTTTATCAGGAAATTTTTGGTTGAAAGCTCCTTGATTATAACACAACCATCTTTCATTATTGTGCCTCTTATAACAATAAAGTGGTGTTGGAGTAAAATTCACGGCATTTATACTAATTCCTCAAGTTACGATTTTAGTATTTCTGATTTAAACTGCTTTCAATTTTTAATTTGTTTATATTATATTATGCACTACGCTAAATGAAATTATTTCTTCTCATATTTTATTAAATTAAACAAAAACTAACAGTGACAACTAAATAACATTATTTCCTTATCTCTAGGTAATAAATAAAATATTGTAAAGGAACGGCGCCAAACTTTTCATTTGTAATAAATAAAATAATAAACTACAGCAAACTTATGTCATAATTTGTTTATTTATTTTATAAACATTATACAGCTTTCTTAATTCAAAAACC